TATAGGCTCCAGGTGTGGCCTCCTAAGAGAACCACTTACTTCAGTTTGGGCACTTGGACAGTATCACATCTCACACGCAAATCAAGTGACTTGTGTGGAGCATATGTACTACTGAGCTGCGTGCCAGATCGTGGATGCGCACGACTTAGGAGCTCCATAATAAGACGAAACGACCGTCCATTACTTCCAGATTTTCACTGGTGGTCTAGTTCAGATCGATTCATGAATTCAAATGTTAAAACTACTACAATCCCCACAAACCCCATTCTGCACTAAGAAGGACTTGAAACACATGACGTTGATCACCAGTCAATGAACAATCAATTTTGAAGTTTGGTACTATACCAATTATTGTTTGTCATGTAGCTTCAACTCAAAGTTTTAAACTATTAAACATTATGAGCTCCTGATTTGTTTATTCATTCACAGTAAAAGCTTTACTAACTCCATAACCTACTATATCAACATTGATTTGAGTTATCAAGCAGTACCAAGTGAATTAGAATGGTAAACGTATATCTTTATTTGGGAAATAATTTATATTATCCTTCTATTTGTATGAAGTATCCGATGAAGATCATTGACTTTTTTTCTCCATCACTATGAACTAATAAATACCCAAACTTTAATCACCTATTCTCCTAGTTCGAATTCAATTAAACATTGATTTCATCACTAAATACTATGAAATCACAAAGAAATTGAGATCCATAGGTGAATCATATTTGGAAATCAAAAACTATTCAAATAAGTAGTCTGTAAAACACTTACGCTAGATCAATGTTCAGTATGATACAACCTAACTACATAGTCTGAACAAAAAAAATCTGTACATATTTGGAACTTGAGGGGAGAGCCTTAATAAGTAATGTAACGTTTATTATTTTACATTCCCATAAATAAGCAGAATGTAATTAACATTATAAATCATGAAGTTTACAATTGAATTCTGTGAAAACTATTTTTAAGATTGGAGTTAATAGTCACCATGTGAATAAATTGCTTCTAATTGTAATCAAAAAGGGGTTTTGTAAATATTATTATTAATTTTTCATAGTTGAATTCATCAGTCAATTGATGTTAGACAACCATGGAAAACCTGGAATCAATGGACGGTTATTTCATTCTAGTATGGGACAAGTATGATGGTCTAGCTTCAATTGGCTCATGAATCCACCTATTAAAAATTACTATGATATCCACGAAACCCATCTTTGATTATATTTACCATATGCTCACGAATGACGGTCTCCAAGAGTTCTATTGTGAAGCTGTAAACAATGGAGTTCAACGTGGTCTCTTGTGAGATAGGAACTCACTGAATACAATGGTGCTTGTGTCACTTAATTTCGTGGATTAGTTGAAGTTAAACATTAACATCGTTGGATGCCGGTCGACTCATTGGTCTAGAGGTTAAATGCTTACGCACAAGGTCCGAATCTCGCGAGGTGTAATCGTAGATGCACATTGTTGAAGAGTCCCAGAATTGAATGAAACTGCGTTCCAAAGCTTCCAGATCTTCCATGGTGGTCTAACATCAATTGACTCATGAATTCAACTATTAAATGTTTCTCATTATATTTTTGTTGTTGTTTCATTCAGTTCAATATTTCTGTTCTAAATATCGTAGATTCAATCACAATTGATTGATCACTGGGTGGTGATCAATGTCATGCTGACGAGTGCCAAATAGCACGAAACCCGGGTCCAGGGTTTCCTGTTGACTACCTCCAACCACCATCTAAATCGTAGATTCAATTTTCGTTATAGATGAATAGATTTATCAATGTTATAAAACATTTAATTAATCTTCAAGTAAACAATTTCTTAGAATATTCCATTTCTTCATTAATTGTTCATTGAATATCAATTCATCAATTATACATCTACACTAATTAACATTTAAAACTATTTTTATTTCTCATTAAAGAATATACTATATACATACATGCACACACACGCACGCATAATCACACACATGCACAATCACGCACACACACATACATACATACATACACGCACATATATATTTTTGTACATAATTTTGCGTAATTATTCAAAGTGATATTTTGTTACAATAGTAAAACAAAAAATTTTTTTTCTTCAATATTCCAAAATAGATGAGAAAAACCAAGAGAAAAACACAAACAAACAAAGAAACAAGCAAATAATGTTGAAACATTTCAATGGTTAATTAATTTTTTGTGTTTTTTTTCTTGGTTTTTGTTTTCTACACACAATAAACACGGAAATCAGTTAATTGGTAAGTCATATGATTGAGTGGGTTTGTTTGTTTGTTTGTTTTTGTCTTGTTTCCTTTCAATTTACAGTACTACTACTACTACTACTACTACTACTACTACTACTACTACTACTACTACTACTACTACTACTACTACTACTACTACTACTACTACTACTACTACTACTACTACTACTACTACTACTACTACTACTACTACTACTACTACTACTACTACTACTACTACTACTACTACTACTACTACTACTACTACTACTACTACTACTACTACTACTACTACTACTACTACTACTACTACTACTACTACTACTACTACTACTACTACTACTACTACTACTACTACTACTACTACTACTACTACTACTACTACTACTACTACTACTACTACTACTACTACTACTACTACTACTACTACTACTACTACTACTACTACTACTACTACTACTACTACTACTACTACTACTACTACTACTACTACTACTACTACTACTACTACTACTACTACTACTACTACTACTACTACTACTACTACTACTACTACTACTACTACTACTACTACTACTACTACTACTACTACTACTACTACTACTACTACTACTACTACTACTACTACTACTACTACTACTACTACTACTACTACTACTACTACTACTACTACTACTACTACTACTACTACTACTACTACTACTACTACTACTACTACTACTACTACTACTACTACTACTACTACTACTACTACTACTACTACTACTACTACTACTACTACTACTACTACTACTACTACTACTACTACTACTACTACTACTACTACTACTACTACTACTACTACTACTACTACTACTACTACTACTACTACTACTACTACTACTACTACTACTACTACTACTACTACTACTACTACTACTACTACTACTACTACTACTACTACTACTACTACTACTACTACTACTACTACTACTACTACTACTACTACTACTACTACTACTACTACTACTACTACTACTACTACTACTACTACTACTACTACTACTACTACTACTACTACTACTACTACTACTACTACTACTACTACTACTACTACTACTACTACTACTACTACTACTACTACTACTACTACTACTACTACTACTACTACTACTACTACTACTACTACTACTACTACTACTACTACTACTACTACTACTACTACTACTACTACTACTACTACTACTACTACTACTACTACTACTACTACTACTACTACTACTACTACTACTACTACTACTACTACTACTACTACTACTACTACTAATAATAATAATAATAATAATAATAATAATAATAATAATAATAATAATAATCATAAAATTTTCTGTTCTAGTATTAAACTACTCAGAAGCCTTCATAGTCTTAAATAGGGATTGAAATTTGGATATTCAGGTTTTGTTGTGATTATTCAACTGCTAGAACTAATTGATTTTCAACTTCCATCATCGTTTTGTAATATATATGCTTCCTTACTTAATTATGCCTGTTGCTCCTAGTGGAGCATATGTCACTGACTAGAATTCTACAACTCAAACTGTCCTAGGCCTTGCTTTCTAGTTCTTTTCAATTGTTGTTCATTCTTCTTATGTTTATCTCCATTTTTCGGTGTAATTTGTTATTTGGTCTTCCTCTTCTCCTTTGGCCTTGATGATTCTATATGAGGGTTTGCCTTGTGATGCAGTTATGCGCTATCCTCAATGTGTGTTCTATTCACTCCCAGTGCTTCTTTCTGAATTTCGTCGTCTGTTAGAATCTGGTGTGTTCTCTCTCATGGTAAGTTGTTGCTGATAGTTTCTGGCCAACTGTTAATAAACACTTATATCTTCTAGATGATGGTTTTCTTAGTTCTCCATCTTTCCATCCCATGCATTAGAACTCCGCCTGGAGCTCCTCTGGAGCTAATGCCGGTCTCAAGCCCGGATAAAAGAGGAGGGTCGGGAATAGGGTTAGAGATTGCATCCCATAGAAAACTAACTCTCTGAAAAAACACTAACCAGAAAAAAAGTAATTTTATATTATTTAATAATGATATGATACCACTGAAAATTATTTTTCATCACCTCAGAAATGACTGAACTTCATTAATTATAACTCCTTATAATAAGTTTAGGAACTCATTTTGAAGAAATTTATACAAGAGACTGTTATATCATAGTGACAATCCGTGACTCGTGTAATCCAGACATGTATGGATTGAAACAACCGTTACAAATGGTATTATATAGTCGTCACACTATATTACAGTGATTGGAATATCGGATTTTCGTCATTGCATGCAAATCCAATGGTTAAGTGCTCACAACCAAT